TTCAGGATGGACTTCGTCAACATGCGTTCGGAGACTTACGAGCCTAACTCGCGCATGCCTATTGTTAAGATCGGCACACCGAAAACATACGCGTTGCGGCGCGATTTGACGATTAACGCGCTCTTTTACAACCTGCGCAAGCGCTCGCTAGAGGACTTCAGCGGCTTCGGACTGAAAGACCTGCAGTGCAAGATTTTGCGCACACCGCTCAACCCTTCGCAAACACTGCTGGATGACCCTTTGCGAATTATCCGTATCGCGCGTTTCGCCTGCAAGCTGCGCGATTTCCACTGCGACAAGCGGTTCTCCATGTTTTGCGCGGAGCCTAAGTTTCGGAACGCTTTCATCACTAAGATAAAGCCTTCCCGACTGACTAATGAAGTCGAGAAGCTCTTGAAATATGAGGACGTGTCGCGTTTTTTGTCGCTGTTGCACTTTTGGGACCTAACTTCGCTGGTGCTGTGCATCGAACAACGCGACGGAGCTCCGGCGGTGACAGAGGCGCGGCTAAACTGCATCGGCTCCTGGTGCCGAGCTGCCGGTTTGGCAGACCGGTTGCTGCGCGACTTGTACGCTCGCCCTTCTGAGCTGACGGACGTGATGCAAGGACTTCGTATGAAAGATTCGGCGGATCGAACATACGACTCGAAACATACGCGAGGAATAGTAATTCTGCTGGGGATCTACGCGCCTTACGTTGAAAGTGCTTCATGGGACTCGCAGATCGAGTGGTTAGCCCCGGAGTGCATTCAGAGCGAATACACACGGATTTTCGCGTCGCTCGATAATTTGTACAAGTCTTTGCAGTTGTACGAAGATTACTGCAGCTGCAGAGCTGACGAGAAACGGATGAGTGCAATCAAATTTTTGAAGCGTTGCCAAAGCGGCGACACACTGCTGCACTGCATTGCGCTCGGCGTCGCGCGCCACTATGCGTGCGGCGACTACTGCTACGAGCTTCTGCGGTCCCGGCTTCGCGATGTTGTTAGCGGTTTGCAGAGCCTCGAGATACTCGGCGTAGACGCCGCGGTGCTACCAGAGAATTACGGCAAGCTCTTTGTGCATTTTCATCCTCTTTTCAAAGAAATGCCTCTGGAAAGCCTAAGGACGACTGTTATAGACTCAGCGAAGAAGTTCGTCGCTTCTGTGTACAAAACTGATGAAAAAAAGCACTGCGACAAAGCCGCGCTGTATAAGTGGATTGAAGCTTCATTGGAAGCGCATAGCTCAGAGAGCTCTAAACAACCGGCCGTCGAAGTTGACGAGCACGCAGCAGCCTAAGAGCCGACAAGCATTACTTCTCGAGACGCGCGACATAGTTGTCCAGATTGCGCCGCGTCGCTCCCATTTCCGTTTTGTTTGTCGCTCCTTCGACTAAGCGCTCTGCGGCTGCAACTTACTGCCCTGCTCCTCTTCGGCCGCTTCCTTTTCGTCGTTGTCCTCTGAGACGTCGGTCTCGCTCTGTTTTTCGTCAGAGAGTTCCTCCGCGTCTTCAGCGTCCGCCTCCTCTGCGTCTTCCGAGTCAGCAGCGCGATTTTTGTCAGCTTTCTCAGTTAAGGCGGTAGCGCTAGACTCCGGGGCAGGAGGAGCAGTTTGGTCGTCATTTTCGGTAGAAATGTCGGCCAGGAAGGACGCGTCCAGAGCGGCCTCGCTCGCAGACACGCCCGAGTTTTCACTGTCCTTGTCAAGCGTCACGGCTTTTCTTCGCAAAAACGTTGTATTGCTGTTTGTCTGCGGACTGCTCTGCGGAACCTTATCGCTCGACACTGTGGTCTTGATTGGTTGAACTTTTGGCGATAACCTAGGAATCTCCTTTTGCTTCTCCACAGTCTCTGTAAATTTTCCTTCGGTCTGGTCGGGCGCACGAAAGTTAACATGTTTCCTCACGTCGCTTGTGACTTTGTTGACCGCCAAGTGAGCTTCGGCAGTGCACAGTGTTGCGACTAACGGTGCGATTGCGCGAATCCTCATCTCGTAGCAGGGCTCTAAAAATTATAAATTTATGACCGCTACTCAAAAACGCAGATTCTACAGCTGCACCTATTGATGAACATCTTTATAGCGCCATCGACTGTTGCAGTGCAGTGTAAGGCGCGGATGTGAAGTGGATCACTGTGCTGCTCAAAGGGTGGCGCAGATCGACAGTAAACGTAAATTACAGTTTCGCGTTAAATCACATGCACAAGACGCAAACCGAAGCAGTGCGTCAAACATTCAACGACATCGGAGGCTGCGATCTGCGCCGAACTTTTGTGACTCGGCTAGGAAAGTAGGCGTTCCGCTATAGCGCGACAGGTAAGCGGTAGGACTCATGGGTTGAAAAACGCGTCCGAACTGGCGGCGTGTCAGTAAATCGTCAAAAAACATTGCCAGTTGTCCTCACTCCTTGAAGACGTACTTGAGAAAAGTGAGGATCTCTTTGTCATCCGACGCCGTGGCAAGTGCGCGCGCCGGCATTTGAGAAAAGTTCATTGCAATTCGTTTTCGGCGCATCTTCATGTAGCAAGCGTTGCAGAAAACGTATTTGTGAATATACCGCCATTGGGGCGTTTCCGACGATTTGCACTGTTGGCAGGTGTGTTTTTCGTAAGACTTCGGCTGCCAAAGCGCAGCGGGTGTCTGATAATGAGAGGCAGTCGCTGCGCGCGTCTGCGCAACGCGGCAGCCGTCGGTTGCGGTTGGCGTTGCGTGAGCAGCGCAGCGTTTCGACTTGCATCTAAGTCGTGTTTTGCGAACTTTTACTAATTGCGCCTGCGTGTCAGCTCTGAGTGCATCGCTGCACGGCTCCCTGCGCGTTCGTGGGAGCTCCGCGCAGGACTGTAACAGCGAGCGGAAGAAGTCGTCGAACCACGAACTTGTGTAAACGTTGCTGGTGGCATCACTAAGCAGTTTCTTCAGCAAGTTCTGTTCGCTGACGGAGTTCGCAACAGAGCCAGTCTGTCCTGACAAATACGCCGTTGCACTGAGTTGGCACAAATCCATGTGATTTAAGCCGAAATGCAGCACCTAAAATCTCATGCGTTTCACTTATGAAATTTGGCAGCATGTATCACTACACTACATTAAAACCAAAATCGGTGCGCGGCTTTAATCACATCGTGGCCCGTGACAACAGAGCTGAGCTTTCATATGCGACAACCTACTTTTTTGTGGCGTTAGCCGACTCGACTGCGAGTGATAATAAGGCCGCTTGACACAAAGCGTCCAACTGCTTGTAAATTCCGCTGCCGACACGGAGCTGATAGCTTCTGCGCTGACTTACTTTGCCCGTAAATCCATTCGCTTCGAAAGCTTTTCGAAGCAAAACGTCTTTTTGTTTCTGTTTCAACAGTTCCATCTGTGCTGCGTCATTCGGAATATCAAAAGCAGATTTCTATTTCGATGATTATTTATCTTCAGCGCTCGACGTGCTAGCGTAGATCGACGATGCTGGCTGCAGAAGTAAATATTATCGAGTCGGATGCAAGATCGGAGCTGAAAGAAGGAGTTCTTAGTTTTATGCGCGAGCTTGCCGAAAGACACGTGCGACCCTCGACAGAGTTAGCGAAGGAAATTAAGCAGCATCTCCAAGCGCTTGAAAACTCTCGCAAGTGGCAAGTTATAGTTGGTCAGTGCTTCGGCGGTTACTTTACGCACGAGCAACACTACTACTTGAAAGTGCAGATGCACAACTTCGAAGCGATCATATTCCGGACCAGGTAGTGAGCGCGCTATAATAGGAGCTCGATCAAGCCAATTGCTTTTTCCAGTAGTCTGTGTGGGATTTGCGGGTTACTTACTCTTTGCTGCTCAATAATTGGGCTCGCTCGTACAGAGGCTTGGGGTCTGGTCGCATGAGATTGCTGAGGTGTGGTTGCAACTTGATCACAAGATTGTTTTGAATGGTTTTCTGAGTGCCGCATACAAGAAAGTGCATTACGGCTTTCTGCACACTGTCAAACAGATTCTTGCGGACAATGTCAAAGTACGATTGAACTAGACGCTTGATGATTTGCGTATTGATTTCGATTCCCGCTTCGTCGTCAACTTTTGCTTCTTTCGCTTTCCCTGTCGATTTTGCACCGCTGATAATGCCGTCGGTGTCAAAGTACGGTTCGACATTATCCGTGTGAAGGTTCGAGAGGTCTAAACGATCAGCGTGAAACGAGAATTCTGAGCTCGTGCTTCGTTCACTATCGCAACTAATTTTGTGCGATCCGCTGAGCATGCCAGCTGAGTTGGAAATCTGGTCTCCCGCCATCATGATGACTTCGTACGCAGATACAAAGTCTGGATGCTTTTTATTGATAAAGCTTTCTTCAACGGCTAGCAGGTTACGACAAAATTCGGTCGCAACGGCTAGATTCTCTTTGGTGTAGCTCTCCATTTGCATGGTGACCGCGTCGCGCAGTTCTTGGTAGATCGAGAACAGTGGCACTAGGGTGGTGACTTGTTTGTTCATGTCAAGAAGGATTTTGTAAGCTTTAAGAACGCAGTTGTCTACAATCGGATACAATGACTTAAGCCGCTCCTTTACCATCACGTCAAAAACTTTTTCGGGCGTAAAGATGTAGGTGCTGTTGCCGCAACAGTTTTTTACAGCAATCATCAGAGCATCTTGCGTGATGTTGGCAACTGGATCGATCTTGTTTAGTTCTTCGCGGAAATGCCCGTTGAACAGCTCTACGATGAGGCTGCCGCCTGCGAGCTGGTTGTGAGATACAATTGTTTTACCGCTTAACACTTCTTCAAATGCCGTTATATAGTTGTTGACTGCGGTGACAAAGGAGTAGAGTGTGCTCGGGTCAGAAGACTCCAAGGGCAGACCGGAAGACGTTTTTTTCGTGTTGCCGGTAGCGTCTTTCGGTATGTCGTACACCGAAGTGTACATGGATGAAAGGTACTCAAGCTGGTTGAGTTCGTTTGCGATGCCTTCACAGCGCTTGATCAGCATCTCACGCAGTGCGTAAATGTTGCTTTGCATCGTCGTAAACAAGATCAACTCGAGCCTGCGGATCAGCTTAACGATCGACTGCCTGCTGTCTTCGCGGTTTTCCTTGCCGCTGATTACCGGAATGTAGCCGTGCTTCAGTTTGTAAATTTCGCCCTTCAACACAGCATGAATCACTTCGTCTTCGCCTAGCAAGTCGTATTTGGATAGCACGCCGAGAGTGCGGTCGCCACTGGGGTCGACCTGGCGCGCCAGTTTTAGGCTTTCAGAATTGGCGATGTCTTGGTTGGCCGGACTGACGGCAATGATGATGGAGTTGCTTTGCTTAATGTACGAGAGAATGAGGTTTCGGATTTGTTCATCTAGGTCATCTGGCTGGTCGTCCGCCGGAATAGTAATCAGCCCAGGCAAATCAATTAGGTAAAGGTTGGGAGCCTTGCTGCTGAAGATCTTAACGAAAAGCGGCTTGACGTCCAGCCAGACGTTTTTCTTCAGTGCGGCAGTGATATGTTTGCGCATTTCATCCGTCGACTGCGCAACTCGGTAGTTTTTGTTTGTCACGTTTCGCGATTCGAGGTCTTGCAATGAAGGCAGCGAAGCCGACTCGCTCACGACTGCAACGAATTCGACGTTTGGCGCGTAGCACAGCCGCATGTGGAGCGGCTGTCGCGTAACCATGCCATTGCCTGTCGGCATAATGCCGATGTGGCCGATTATTCGTTCTATGATGCTAGTCTTCCCTACGCTTTGTGAGCCAAGCATGACGAGTTGCGGCAAGTTTTCGATGAAGTCTGCAATTGGTCCATTCCAGCGCAGCTGGTCGAGCACAGTTTGAATTTCACAGACAATTTTCAACTTGTTGCAGTTCGGGTCGACTTCCGCCGCACGGCTGCGCTCTTTGTTAGGCGTCGCGTGCATCGTACCTTGCTGGTAATTATAGGGCAGTTCATAGTCTACTCGGTCGGCTCGATTGTTGAGCCGGTGGATCCAGCTTCTCACGCTCATGCAGTCTCAATAAAGTTAGGAAAACACAAGTTTTCCTAGAGCGTGTCCTTCAGCCCGGTTGGAACAAATTCATGTTGAAGCACGATATTCTGTCTTATAGGCTTTCGCAGCCCTTACATAAAATCTATATTTTAATGATGCCCGGTTCTGGCCGCTCCGACGACGAGCGAAGCGGCACGGACTTCTTGTCTGAGCTCGACAGTGGCGACGATATTGGTGCGGCGCAAGGATTGTCTGGAAGACCCGTCGACGACGATAGCAACATCGAGAGCGAGGAGGATGATTTCGCACTTCTGCGGCCCGGTGACGCGTTCGATGTTTCTGAGGTCGTCGACGAAACAGTGCCTCCGGAAGTAAGCAAAGCTACGGACAACGTTACTGCGTCGCTGTACTCTGGCATCAGCCATTTTTTTTCGCAAATGGGCTCAGCGATGGCAGAGGAGAACGGCGACTTGCGCAACGAGCCGGGCGGCGTCACCGGCGACAGTCTAGTCGTTAACATTGAAAAGCCAACGGACGAAGCCATCGCTGAAGCTAAGCAATCGCTGTACATCTCTGCGAGCCACGTTGCGTTGCGCTTCCAAAACACTGCTCGGCTGTACGAGCTGTTCGACTCAACCATTAAAAACGCTCTGCGCGTTTATTTCCTGGCTTTCATCTGGCAATACAAAGTGATTGAAAACAGCGAAGAAGGCTATTACGTTACGCAGATTAAGGAAATGGTTCACAACGACGCGTTATCACAAGTTGTTGACATGAACCACATGATGAACTTCGAGCCGCGAATTGTGGACTGGATCATTCTGCTGCCGCGCGACGTACTTCTGATCTTCGATGCAGTCTTGCTGCTTTGGTGCAGAGCGCTGAACGCAAACGTCTACAAGGAGGCTGCGGTGAACGTTCGGCTGTACAACTACCCGATCATCAAGGGTATTAGGTCGCTCCGCATCTCGGACGTAGGTCGCTTCATAGTGGTTGAAGGCGTTTGTGTCAAGCGGTCGGCGTCAAAGCCTTCGTTCGCTGTCGTCTACTTCGCGTGCGTAAAGTGCGGTTGCGA